AACTCAGCATCTCAACATGTATATTTACATTTTCAAATGTAAATAGATAGGAAATTTTCTGTGGTTCTCTAAAAAGTGTTTTACATATTTAGAAAGCTTTACCTTCTTTACACCACTTGTCCAGACCTTACTGTACAGCCTCCTGGATCTCCTGCACCTCTCTCCTTCTTACCATCTAATTCCCCACTTACCAGCCACCTGACAAGTGGGCTTTGTTGTTCTGGAGTTGCATGTGTCTCTTCTGAGTTATCTTATCTCCAGCAAGAGGACAAAGTGCACTCGAGTCTCTTGAATAAAGGAGGCATTCAGTAAATTTTAATGGCTTAATGCCTTGTAAATTACAGGATATGAGTGGACTCAGTGAAAATATATAAGTAGAAAGAATAATGTTGGGCAAGTCACCAAAGTGGTGAGAATGCTTTATGAAATTCCCAGGGATTTGCATAATATACTGAACTTGAGCAAATAAATTCTCTTTGGCAGAAAAATTCTTACTTCCCAGTTGACCCTTGGTGACAGAGTAACAAAGTTCATTTAATGTAATCCTGTTAAAGGCATTAAGGTGGCAGTCACTATTTTACGAAATTGAAGTGACAGCATTATAATTGATAAGCTATTGAAATGACCCCTTCTATATTTGAGAAATAGCACTGTATAGTGATTGACAGGATTATCCAAACAGTTTAGTTCTCAGTTTCATCACTTATAAATTTTGTAACCTTGGCCAGATTTTTAATTACTTTATACTTCTGGATTTTTTTTTCCTTTGTAGATGGGAAAAATAATAATTTCACGCTGTAACTGGGAGCACTGAATTAATACATCATTCACTGAGTTCAGTGCCCCGCTCTGACGTAGTGTACAACTATGAATAAGTCAGGTATGCCATTTGCTTTCATGGACAAGAACATGTAGTAGAAGGTAACAGGAAGCTCAGTAGGGGATAATGACCATTCTGCAGGAAGTATTAAGTTCACGAAGAAACCACAGCAGCCACCAGTCCTGATCAGAGGTAAGGACAGGGCGAACTTTTTGTCAGAGAAAGCAAAAGTAAAATCTAAGCTGTGACCAATAAGAAAAAGAAAACAGGAAGACATATTTATTAGGCAGTCCTGCCTGCAGTCTCAGTGTGCTCTACCTGTTAATGATGTTATAGTATCAGTCATAATTATCTACATTGATGACACAGATAATTAGCAAAATATTGACATCTATTCTCAGGCAGTGGATTTAGTTGAATACTTGAAATTTTGAAGCTTGTTAGATTTATTGTGTGGGACTGGTCAAAACACCTATTTTAAGAACATTTTAGTGTTTGTGAAGGAACATAATGAATTTCTACAATTATTCTAGATATTGAAACAATACAGATTTTATACAAAGAATTTTAAAACTTCAATTAATGTCATATGTTTTAAAATGTAGATACACTATAATATGGAAGAATTTGAACTTTTCAATGAATAATATTTTTGGGGGGGTGGAGTACTAGGGAATGAACCTAGGGCTTTACTTAAGGCTGAAGATGTAACAGATCTTTGTTTAAAGGTTTAGTTTATTTTCAGGTTAAATAATGAAGCAAACCAGGCTAGAGCTTGTGTTGCTACTGTCTCCATCTTCCCCAGTAATGGGATTATAAACTCACACTCCCATACCTATCTGTATATTTTAATCTACAATATAAAGGTACTGTACTGTACTAGTAATATTAATATTCAGTTTTTGCTTGTTGAAATGATGAATTTCAGAGAGGTAGCAGGAGTTAGGAGTTAGAATTTATTTATTTATTTATTTATTTATTTTTATGAAATGTGATTTTATTAATGAACAGAAGTGCTTGTCTTCTAGACGCACTGTCTCCAAATAAATAAAATCCCAGCATCATTGAAACACACAAATGCAGTTTTACAGGGTACAATACAAAGTCAATTTCAATGATGTTTTATATTTACTAAAAATCCAAGACTATGATTGGTCTCTAAATAATCATTCTGATTAAAGAGAAAAGTAGAGCACAATTATTACATAGGTTTTTGGAATGATAATTTGAGAGGATTTTGATTTTAAAAGTTATTAAGATATATCAGCAATCAAATCACACCTTCTGCAACATTATACCATGGAACTGTACTTAGGTCAAAAATAAAAGCAAAGGGCCTGAAGAAGGCTGTATTCTTTCTTTCCCCACACTACGCTTATTTCTATTTTTGGATATGAATTATTAACCTTTTCCATTAGAAGGAAAATGTGCTCTGCAAACTCTCGGATGGCTCCACCGCCACCATTACTCTTGCAAATATACCCTACTGCCTTCTGGGCCGCGGAACAGGCATCAGCCGGGACACCGCTTAGGCCTGCTCTCTTCAAGCACTCTTCGTCTGACACTTCGTTTCCTAGATAGGCCACCTCCTTCCAGCACAGGCCCATCTCTTTTCTCCATTCATCTACAACTGCAAGCTTGTCTGAAACGCCGACTTCCATTTTACAGTCCAGCTTTAAGGAGGACAGTGTCTGCTTGGAACAGGCCCTTTTAGAAATGAGCCTCACCTCGACACCACTTTTCTTCAATAAACTTATCCCAATAGCATCTTTTACATCATAAGGTATTATTTCTTTTTGGTCTCCTGACACATAAATGTGACCATTGGTGAGACACCCATCAATATTGCAGAACGAAAGCCTTATCTCCTTGAGCTTCTCTTTGCTAAAATAGCCAAATCTTAATACTCTTTGCTCTGCGATAGGCCAGTCAATGTCCACATCTATATCCACACTGTGCTCAGCTCGCATTTCGTTGTAGGCCATTTTTCCACCCTATTAGTAACCCATCTCTATTAAACATCTCTTGGCAAAGTAAAATGAGTCATTTTCATACAGTTCTCCATCCCAGTCTTGGCGACGAGGTCGTTTAGCTGGATTCAGATTCAGGGGCTCGGTTACTTCATTCACTCCTTTATGAATTTCACTCCATCGAAACTGATGGCGCCTCACAACAGAGAAAACAGAATCATATCCTTCTTCTTGACTCATTTCCGCAACTTTCTGAAGGTCAGTAGGATGTACACATGGAGAAGTGTCTTGAATATTTCCTACAATGTCAACCTCATTATGATAACTAAGAAATTCTATGATGGCATCTAGTGAGGTAGTGCTGTCTTTTGAAGCTTCAGAACTTCTTCGATGAACTTGTGCACCAAATTGTTTGGCCACATTCTCAATTTCATCATGATCTGTTGAAACCCATACACTCTGGAAGACCCCCGAGTCCAGGGCCGCACGCAGGACCCAACCAATGAGCGGGACCCCCGCCAGGTGCTTAATGTTCTTCAGGGGGATGCCTTTGCTGCCGCCCCGGGCCAGGATCAGGGCTGCCAGGTGCGGGGGCTTCTCCACACCCCAGCCCTGGCCGCCGCGGGAGTTGCGTTGCGGGTTGGAGACGGAGGTGTTGGCCCCCTTCTCCACCGAGTCCATCTTCCTCCCACGCCTTCTCAGGAGTTAGAATTTAGAGCTGACATATCGAATCATTTGAGAAACTTTAATAGAAGAAAAGATTTGTTCATGTTATTGTTAGAGTTAATATGAATTTCAAATTGCTATTGTGTTATTTTAGGCATGTTTATTTGAAAATAAATGAAACTTCTCTAACTCAAATAAAAATTCAACAGGCAATTTGGGTCTCATTTTCATGCACTGATTTCTTTGTTGTATGTCCATTTTCTCTTCTGAAAATTGAGGAAGACTAGTGTTCTTCACTATGTAGCTTGATTATACATTGTTAGCATGTGTGTGAGCTTTGAAGAAAACATTTCAAATAAGAAATTATAATTTCATATTTATGAATATGTAATGAAGTATAATAAGGTCCAATTTCTAAATATGTTGAAAATGATATTCTTTGTAAAATATTTTCATTAGATACTTCATGGAAAACACAGTTGCGTATTCATTTTCAAATCTAGTACATTAACAGAATCAAATTAAGTTTGTTGGGGCTGGAGAGATGGCTCAGTGGTCTAAAGCACCTACTTAGAACAAGCTTGGCAAAGCATCAGGGACCGCGGTTCGATCCCCCAGCACCACATGCCAGCCAGCCCTGCCCCCTGGTGGGCTGAGCTGGCCACACACACACACCACTCTCTCTCTCTCTCTCTCTCTCTCTCTCTCTCTCTCAAATAAATAAAAAAAAATAAAAAAATATAAAAAAAAACAAATTAAGTTTGTAATCATTCCTTACTCCTTGTCAAAAAGACAATGGACAGAGATGCATCTATGATCAATAAACTGTAAGTTTAAAGATTTGATCAGAATTATACAGTGCCTAAAATATTAACATGGAATTGTGATCTTTTAAATTCAAACCCAGTTGGTCTTTATTCTCATTATGGAATTCCTTTGATTTGTTTTTTCCAGCTTAAAAATGACTTATAATCAGGATTTCTTAGTGCTAGGATCTTCATATGAAAATTCACAGTATGATATGACCTTGGAATGAGATGTGAGGACATGCTAGCTCACTGACACGTACTCACCTGACAGAAGTATTTATTTACTTCTAGTTCTCAAAACAGTTTGCTGATCTGTTAGAGGTTAGTTTGTTCAGATTATTCAGGAAGCTGTAGGTGTGCTTGGTAAGAACACAGTCTCTGAAATCACTTCAAAGCCAAGCTGTATGGCTTGGAACAAATTATTTAGTCTTGTTTTGCCCCAGGTTTATTTGCAAAATGGAAATGATAATAGTAATGAATACCTTGTAAGACTTAGAAATGTCACATTGCATGTCTCATTGGAGCTCAAAGGGGAGAAATGTTTGTGTCTATGGTTAAGAATTACTCAGTGAAGGGCCAGGGAGATGGCTCAGTGGAATAAGCACTTGCCTGGCAAGCACAAAGGCCTGAGTTCAATCCCTCGTTCCACCAAAAAAAAAAAAAAAAAAAAGAATTACTCAGTGAATAAACATAGACTAATCAGCCTTTTCTCTTGTGTTTTCATAGCAATGCCAGATTCCTCCAAAGGCCCTCCACTGTCTTCAGGTGTAAATGGTAACCTGCAGCCTCCTGGCACCCCTGGGCAGCCCCCTGCCTCTGCCATCCCATCTCCCAGTACCAGCAAACCCTGGCGCAGCAAGTCTATGAACGTCAAGCACAGCGCCACTTCCACCATGCTGACTGTAAAGCAGTCGAGCCCAGCCACCTCTCCTACCCCATCTTCTGACAGACTGAAGCCACCTGTCTCAGAAGGAGTCAAACCAGCGCCCTCGGGACAGAAATCTATGCTTGAAAAATTCAAGCTGGTCAATGCACGGACTGCTTTAAGGGCCCCGCAGTCTCCCAGTTCAGGACCCACCGATGCTGGCAAGGATGATGATGTCTTTTCTGAATGTAGTGAGATGGAAGGTTTTAATAGTGGTCTGAACAGTGGGGGCTCAACAAGTAGCAGCCCCAAAGTGTCACCTAAATTGGCTCCTCCAAAAGCTGGAAGCAAAGCCCTCAGCAATAAAAAGTCTTTGCTACAGCCAAAGGAAAAAGAGGAAAAAAACAGGGACAAAAATAAAATTTGCACTGATAAACCAGTTAAAGAAGAGAAGGATCAGGTGACTGAGACAGCTCCAAAAAAAACCTCCAAAATTGCCAGCTTGATCCCAAAGGGCAGTAAGACCGCAGCAGCCAAGAAGGAAAGTTTAATTCCATCTTCTAGTGGGATTCCAAAACCAGGCTCAAAGATGCCCTCGGTAAAACAAACCATTTCACCTGGAAGTTCAGCAAGCAAAGAGTCTGAAAAATTCAGGACTACCAAGGGAAGTCCTTCCCAGTCCTTACCCAAGCCCATAACCACCGAGAAATCAAGCACATCTGACTGCCCTGCCCCTTCGGATGCGAGGGAAGCTGGCCACGCTTTGCCCTCTGGCCCCTGCACTATGGGCATGCAGGGCAGCACTCAGAGCGCAGGAAATGGTGCCGTGCAGCTCCCTCAGCAGCAGCAGCAGCAGCACAGCCACCCGAACACGGCCACCGTGGCTCCGTTCATTTACAGGTAAGGGGGGCTCTGCCCAGGGATTTCTCACAGGTCATTGCGCCATGCATCAAAGGCTGGGAGCGTCACTAGTGTTTCGGGCCCATCCCTGTGAAATGATATTTCATTGTAAAATGTGAGGCCTAGAACTTGCAATCTTAGTCTGGAAAAAAAAAAACCTAAAGTATGATCTGTCAGTTCTCACATTCCCAAAGCTGAAGGCTTGACAAATAGGTCTATGTGGGAAAGGCAAGACAGAACACCCATGCTGCGACTCTCTTGTTTAGCATTATGATTACCGCTCTTAGTGGTAGAGGTCTTTTAAACTAGCTTTTAGGGGCCAGCGAGATAGCTCAGCAGACTAAAGCACCTGCTGAGGCAATCTTAGGCAAACGCAAGGACCCGCGTTCAGTCTCTAGCGCCACATGCTGCTCCGGCCCTACCCCCAGCGAGCACTGATGAGCCAGAATCTGGGCATAGTGGCGCACACCAGTAATCCCAGCACTAGGGAGGCTGAACGCAGGAATCCAAGTCACACAGAAAGACCCTGCAACAACCAAATACATTAAAAAATAAAGAAAGAAAATAAAGTAGATTTTAGCTTTATGACTTTCAAAGATAGTTTTGCTGTCACTTTTGGGAGAAAGTATATGATAGTGGTTAAAGAGCAGTCTGATAGCCCACAAAAGTGAATATATGCCCCAGTTATTCTACTTACCTGATATATGACTTTGGACAAGCTACTTAAAATATCTTAGTTCATTTTCTTCAACTGTCAAATAGGAATAATAATTTATCTTGTTCTGTTGAAAGTATTATAAGATAACAGAAATCACTATCATACTGTAACTGTTCATTAAATATTGTTTATAAGATATTTCTTTCGCAAATAAATATTTTATTAATATCCCACCAGTAAGTAAAAGGTTTTTAAGAAAAAGTAGTAGCTATAAAATTAGTATATACATACTTACTTTTTGCTTGTTATCACTTTTTGGTGAGAACGCTTACTTAAGTATTTTTTTTTTTTTTAGATAAAAGAATTTTATTTGAAATGCTTCAGTCAAATGCAGCTATAAAAAAAACAAGGACATTGCCAGAGAAACACTTGCATATTTACAGAAAAGATACTGGGTTTTTAAAAATACCAATTTACAGTAATGAAAGCGTCAGATACCCAGCCTGCCAGATCCTGGATATATTTTTTTTTTAATACAGTACTTAAGAACCATTTGATAAATGTTGGATTTGAATTGGAAAGTGTCAGACAAAACATGTCTTTATTCCCTAGCTAGACTTACTTAAGTATTTTTCAAGAATATAATCTCAAGGCTGGCCAAATAGCTCAGCAGATTAAAGTGCCTGCTTAGGCAGACTACAGGGGCCTGGAATTTGATCCCCTGGTCTGCTGTGCCAGCCCAGCCACGGGGCCGCACTGAGATGGCAGTTGAGACTGGGTATGGTGGTGCGTGCCCATTATCTTAGCACTTGGGAGGCTGTAAACAGGAGGATCACTACGAGCCTGATCTACGCAGGGAGACCCTGTACACACTGTACACCCTGTCCTAAATAAAAAAGAATATAATCTCTATTAGCTATAATCATGTAGTTATTGTGATATATAATAGATTCCTTAAACTTATTCCTCCTATTTAACTGAATGTTTATATTTTTTGATCAGCAAATTTCTAGTCCCTGCCACTAAACCATCCTAGACCCTGGTAACTTAAATTCTATGATCTAATTTTATGAGATCAACTTTTCTTTATATCCCACATATATATGTGATCATGTGACATTTGTCTGTCTGTGTCTGGCTAGTGTCACTTAGTATGATGTGTTCCAGGATCACATATGTCCCAAACAAGAGGAACTTTCTTTTATTGCTGAGTAAAATTTCATTAAATGTGTATGTCACACTATAAATTAAAAAAAAGAGAAAGTAACACAACTTAGAAATACTGAGTGTGAGAAAGTTGCTATACCTTTTTCCCATAGATGAAGAATTTTTCTTCTGTTTTTTTGTTGCTGTTGTTTTTTTTAAATAGGAT